GCCTCTATAATCCTCTGTCAGCAACAGGCCTTCAGCCTGGGCAGCTGTAAACGATATCCACCTCTTGATTCTGCCAAGTGCGCATGTGTGCGTGAAAGAGATCTGGCAAAAGAACAAGTACCTTTGTATACTCGAATCTGGGAAGATTGTGTGTTTGTCCAATACTGGCACAGAATTTCTGTATGATTTTTCCAGATCATTTGCAGCAGAGGGGGAATCCTAGCTGACTACTGCCCTGTTAGTGTGTGTCTGTCAGATAGTGAGTGAGTGTGACTATTTGCTGTTTGTCTGTTTCGTGACACCAAGGTTGAATGTGGAGAAAATGGAAAGTGACAGACTGAAACAGACTGAAGCAGATACAGACAAGCAGGCTCTCAAAAACATCACACAAGTGTAAATGGACAAACAGGTCTGCAAGAGGATTCTCACTGCATGGGCAGCATATTTTGCCCATACATATAATATAGTACATTTAGGCCACATATTCACATACTGACTGGTTATTATTGCATGCTTTAAAAACATGAAGGTAAAAAACTTCCCTCTTCCATCTTTAATATGATACTTTTTGCAAAAAAAAGAAACAAAACTAACATTAACCAGTGGAAAAACTGATGACAATACTTTCTTTTTTCATGACAATTGTGTTGTTAAAACCTCTGAAATCCAAACTCCCAGGGTGAGTTCAACTTTACTCAGTATGGTCTCTTAAGTAAATAGAGAAACAAGATGAAACTGCAAGTGTACAGAAATACAATATGAAACTTTAATGAAGCTTTTGATTTCCCCAAAGTCCTGTCTTTGTACACAGCTTAGATCAATTGCACTGCACTGCTTTTATTAGCCACAGCTTTTAATGCACATCTACACCTCGAAATTTCAAGCTAGACTGGGGTCTGACATTGTCTTCTGCTGTTTACTGTCATGCTGACAAAAACACGTTTTACTGTAGTTCTGCCATAAAGCGTGGCCCTTAAAATAGACAAAGGTGTTTGGATAAAGTTCACAATAACGTATTTTTTCTAAAATTAATACTAGGCGATAAAAAGTGACACCTCTGGAGCTTAAGAGCAAATCAGAAGTTCTAATAATTTTTGCATTTGAGAGCGTACAGTTTTGTAAGAGCAGAATCAGATTTGAGAGCTTAATCCTGGCCGCGTATGCACTCAAATCCGAGTCTGCGCTCTCAGATTTCTCCACTGGGGTTTGTGTGATAGATTGTCCATGCCAGCAGTTTCGGAAGCGCAGAATACATGTTCCAAGCGCTATTCAGTTTGCAAATCAGACTTTGAGGGCATGCAGGCACTGATTTGTAAGAGCAGAAACAGATTTGAGAGCAAGGGAGGACAGAATTGTGTGTTTAACAGATGATTTTGAACAAGCAGCGAGGATCCTCCCTTGCTCTCAAATCTGATTCTGCTCTTACAAGTCCATTCCTGCACTCTCAAATTCTAATTTGCAAACTGAAGAGAACTTGCACCTTGTTTCGTGCACCTTCAAAATATTTGCCGTGGACAATCTTTCAGACAAACCCCAGTGGAAAAATCTGACCTGGATTAAGCTCTCAAATCTGATTCTGTAGTCCTGTTATTCATAGTCCCAAGAGTATATATCTAATCCATCTGATTGTGTACAAAGCTATTAATATTGCTGAAACAGTTTCACTCTTCTTGCTTTATACTGCACTGTTGTTTTCAATCACTGGCTTTTATGAGCTAAAGACCAGGGGTTTAATGAAAAGAGACACAAAAGATTTGTGAGGTTAAAAACCAAAAGCAATTTTCATTATTATACCAAAAAACTGAGTAGAAAAAAATCTGCCTTTTTACTTCTGAATGCTACATTTCAAACACAGCCAATGGTCTCGTTATTTCCAAATGTAGGCCTTGTGCATGTTTTATGCCATCTTTAAGGCAATGTCTATGAGCAGAATGCTGAATAATTGACGAGACGTGGAGCTGGATCAAAGAGCAACTCTGCCTCTGTTTGTGGCTCTCTGTATGCACAGGCTTTTCTGCCTGTGTGTGGCTGTGTGCACTCACTTGTGTGTTTGTGATAATGTACAGTATGTGTGTGTGGTTGATAGCCAGAGGAAGTGATTTCAGTCTGTGTGCAAAAATGAAAAGACAAACAGAGTTGGTTGCTTTTTCAATAGTTGGTGTGATGATTGCTTATTAGTGCAGACTGAAAGATGTTTGGACTCTCTTTTCTAGAAGCCGTTTTTTCAATGGAAAGCTGTTTCCTACCTGGCAAACTCCATATTTTTGAGCTTTTCATCAGTCATACATGTGTCAGTTACATTCAAATGTCCATGACACAACACCCAACAAATTCAGGTTTAGGTTGTCACTTCCACATACAGTATGTTTGGCATATGCAC